TCGTGTCTTAGTTTGCATTTCCCTGATGACACAGGATGCGGAGCATTGTTCATGAGCGTCTTTGCCATCTGTGTGTCGTCTTGGCTGAGGCGTCCGTTAGGGTCTCTGGCCCACTTTTAAACTGCGTTGCTTGTTTCCTCACTGTCGAGGGTCACGAGCTCTGCATATTCTGGATAAGTCGTCTTTACCACATGTGTCTTTTGCAGACATTTTCTCCCCCCTGTGGCTGGGCTTCTCACCCCAGCAGTGTCTTTCACAGAAAAGCCCAGCGTATCTACTATTTCTTTCAGAGATGGTGTCTTTGATGTTGTCTAAGAATCATCACAACACCCAAGGTCATCTAGGTTTTCTCCTATGTCGCCTTCTAGGAGCTTTATAGTTTTGCATTTTACATTTAGGTCTGTGATCTATTTTTTTTTTTTGAAAGATTTATTTACTTGAGAGAGAGCAGGTGCAAAGGTGGGAGGAGAGGCAGAGGGAGAGACTCTCAAGCAGCCTTCGCTCTGTGCAGGGAGCCTGACGATGGGCTGGATCCCAGGACCCTGAGATCATGACCTGAGCTAACAGCCAAGAGTCAGACACTTAACCGACCGAGCCACCGAGGCACATGAAAAAAGTTTTATGTTTTTAAGTCATCTGTACAGGCAGCATGGGGCTCGAACCCACAACCCCGAGATCAAGAATTGCATGCTCCGCTGACTGAGCCTGCCACGTGCCCCTGGTCTGCGATCTGTTTTGGGTTAATTTTTATAAAGGGTGTGAGGTGTGTGTCTAGATTTATTTATTTTTTTTAATTGCGTGAGGATGACCAGTTTTTCCACCACCTTTGGTTGAAAAGACTGTCTTTACTCCTTTGTAGAGGTTAGTTGGCTCTATTTAAATGGGTCCCTCGATTCTGTGATGCTGCTCCTCATCTCTGCACTTCCTGCAGGAAAGTCCTATTTCTGTCGTGTTCACTATCTTGGTGGGAAGGGGGCAGTTACACGGGCCCCCACTTCGCCCTTCCTGCTCTAAAGACCCCACAGGTCCAGGGCCCAATGCAAGGGCTCTGCCAGTGGCTAAGCGTCCCCGTGCCAGCATCGCAGACGGACCCACGGACCCGAGCGTAGTGACGGTGGACGCCAGCCACGGGGCCGACTTTGATCTGGATTCTATAAACAGGACCCCGATGACATTGCAAAACTGGTCTCCGTTTAGATCCTGTGCGTGAGAGTCCCCAGGAAGTCTGTCTCCCTTCCCCCTGAGTACAGCTCCCCCTGCTGAACGCCCCCGACGGCTCCGCGGAAAGACTGGGAGAAGATTCCGTGTCAGGAGAGAACCTGTGACCAGACTGGAGCCTCGTCCAGGGGCACCTGGCTCCCCCTTCCATCTGAGAGCTGCGAGTTCTTGACCTTGGCGCTGGTCTGGAGGCGGTGAGGAGCTGTGACGGCCAACGGCTTTCTCATGGGCGCGGCCTGGTCCCAGCGTCAGGGTCAGCACAGACCGCGCAGGCTGTGCAAGCCGGCTCCGGGGAGAACTAGCCTGATTCCAAAGATGGTTCTTGTTGGTGTGTAAACCCTCCTCCACCTGACGAGGACCCTCGGGGAGGCTCAGAGAACACTCTGCAGGGGGCAGATACTAGAAGAGGTGACGTGGCCGCAAGACAGTGTCAGCGTGGTGAGGGGCAGCAGCCCCGAGCGGTGGCCAGGATGTTCTGCCTGGGGTGGGGCAGCCAGGCCGTCTGCGGGGCGCCGCTCGAATCGTCAAGCCAGACAAGCACCTGGCCCCATTAGCTTGCGCACACCTGCTCCGGGGAGGTCGTGACATGGTTCAGAGAGGCTGCTCTCCTCTGGCACAGAAGCAGCTGCAGGGACATGCGAGGGCCCTGAGAGGGCACCAAGCAGACCGGAGGGAGGACAGCCCTCACCCTCCTCCTCCCAGCCCGTCTCTTGTGCCCCTGGTTCGGCAGGGCCCAAGAGGACGCTCGCTGGCTGAGCGCAGCGGAGTGAGGGCTCCAGGCCCTCCCCTGCAGCCTCCGCATGCGGCCTCCTCACAGACACGGACTTGCACTGGCGAGGCCGCTGCCTGACGACCCGCGTCCTGGGTAGGGATGAAGCCGGCCTCAATGTCCTTCTGAAAAGTGGAGGCAAAGGCCTGGTTGGTGTCAGGACACCTCTGGGTGATGTGGGTAACACCCCACATTCCTTCGTGTTCCACCTGGAACCTGGGCTTTCTGAAAGGTAAACACTAAATTATAAAGTTTACCAGTATCCACCAGTCTTACATTAAAAAAAATATATATAATATATATATATATATATATATATGTATGTATGTATGTATGTATGAACAAGGGGCGCCTGCGTGGTGCGGTTGGTTAAGCATCTGACTCTTGATTTAGGCTCAGATCGTGATGGCAGGGCTGTGGGGTTGGCCCGGGTCGGGCTCCGGGCTCAGCGGGAATCTGCTTGGGGGTTCTCTCTCTCCCTCTGCCCCTGCCCGTCCCTCCTGTGTGCGCGCTCTCTCTCCATCTAAAGTAAATAAATAAAATCATTTTTTGAAATTAGAGAATAGAGTAAAAAGAGGCACCAGTTAATATTTACAGGTGTATGTAGCAAATAAGGAGAAGATACGCGCTGCCTGTGCTGCCCCCGTTTCTGGATCGTGGCTGTGTCTGCTCCTTAGAACTTCCATCCCCCACGGGCCCTCCACCCGCCGTGTGCTCTCAGCAGGGCAGCCGCAGGCCTGGGGTCTGCACGTGGACGGTGGGAATCCTCGTCAGTTCTCACACCCCAGGGGATACCTGGGTCCCAGACACGGTCGTCCTGGTCCCCGTGAGGACTAGGGAGCTGCCCTTGCAGTCAGAGCCTGTCACCGCGGGTGGTACAGAAATGCCCGTCCTTGTTTGTGGGACAGATGCTCAGGCGGAAGCCTGGGTGTGCGGTTCCAGCCACTGTCGTGTTGCCGGGTGGAAGCTCCCACTGGGAACCGAGATCCCCCAGCAGACTCCGGATGGTGGACAGGAGAGGCCCGGGCTGGCTAGACCCCTGGGAGATGGCGAGGGAGCCCCCCTGCCGCTGCTCCTGGCTCCTGGCGTGTGTATCTCGGCCGTGGCGGAGACGGCCCCCGCGTTCCTCGTGGGGTGGTGCTAACACCGCACTCGTGTGGCCGCGGTGGCATCTCTCCGGTTCTGCGGCCCAGTGGCCAGGCGCAGCCCGGCTGGCTCTCGGCGGCGGAGGCCAGGCTGCCCCTCATCCTGGGGCCTCACCCACCACGGGAAGGGGCTGCTTGTCTGTGGGCCGTGGGGCGCGAGCCTGCCTCCTGGTGGCCGCCGGTCCCCCTGCTGGGTCTACAGAACCCCCGCGGGGCCTGCCCGACAGAAGCCCCCACGCTCACCCGTGGACGGTCGCCGTGCTGGGGGCCCTGGTGCAGATCCTCTGGAGTCTGGGCAGTGGGCGCGGCGCCTGGGAGGCGCAGGGGCAGGCGCGCTGGCTTCCTCCTGAGGGCATCCAGGCCGCCCGCTCAGCGCCCCTCGGGCTTCCATCTGGGAGTTCAGGGGTATCCCACTTGTCACAGCTCCTGAGGCGGCACAGTTCTGAGCTGCCCCTGTTCCTGTCACCTGACCCTGTAGCAGCGAGAGCACAGAGAGGAGCACCTGCTGCGTGTGCGTGGGGGTGGGGGGGGCGCCACCAGCTCAGAAGGAGGCCCCCCCATCCCTTTACTCGTAAAAGTGGGCAGCTACGCCAGGAAGTAAAGGAGCCAGCGACAAATCATCCACTATCTCACCATTCGGGGCGGGCGGTGTGGCCACGGGGGGGTCTTCGGTTCCTGCTGCCCGGTTCCCCCCCGGGTGGCTCTTCCTCCTCCCGTGCGTGGCCGCAGGTGCTCCGCGCTGCTCTGGTGCCTCTCCTCCCGTGGGCCTCTCCCCGCCGGTCACGCCGGGGGCCCTGGGCCTCCTGAGCCCCGCGGGGTGTGTGCGTGCATGTGCGCGTGTCACGCCCTGGCGTCTGTCCCCCCGGTCCGTGGGACGGAGGAGGGGACTGGCCGTGGCAGTCTGCTGGGGGTCCCCCCTCCCAGAAATCAATAAAGCTTTAAGAAAAGATAACAGCTCATTTCCCCTCGTGCTGCGCTGCGGGGCTGGGGCCGCGGTGGAGCCACCAGGGTCTCGGGCAGCGCCCGGCGGGGCCCACACGGGCTGCTTTCACACGGGCCTGCTCGTGAACATTTGCTTCAACAGACTGTCACGTTCTTTCTGTTTTCTCCTCTGACACATGGGCTATTGTAAAACGTATTTCAGAATTTCCAAACACATGGGTGTCTCTACTTAATTTTTATTTGATTTTAGGCTTGATTCAACTTTATTCAGAAAGTGTATTTTTTAAATGACTTCAACCATGTGATGTTTATTAAAATGAGCTTTTTAGCTCAGGTCGTAGCCAATTTTGGCACATCTTCCTGGGGCGCGTGGAGAGAGTGTTGCCTCCCGCACTCAGCCCATCAGCCCAAGGAGTGGCGGCGGCGCCGCAGACGTCTTCTCTGTCTTCGCTGGCTTACTGGGCGCTTGGTTCTGACAAGTACTGACAGAGGCGCGCCAATGTCCCCACTATGATTGTAGGTTTATCGGTTTCTCTTCATAGTTTTCCTCGATGTACTCCGGAGCCGTTACCAGATGCCGCCGTATGTAAGAGCCCTGCTGCCTCGGCCAGCTGCTCCAGTATGGCTCTGGAATGGTTCCCTTTAGCTCCAGCAAGGCTGTTTGCCTTAGAGCTTACCTGCCGCCAGCAGCTGGGCATAGCTTTGTATTTCCTGTTGCTGCCCGACGAAGGAGCACACGCTTAGCCACCTAAGGCAGCACCGTCCCGTGGGCTCCAGCTGCCATCTGGACACTCGCTGGGGCCGCAGCCTCATCCGGAGGCTCGAGTGGGAGGCACACAGCGCAGGTCTCTGGCACTGTCCGCGGGTTTGTCTCCTGTGGTGCAGGCCTGAGTCCCGGCTCTCGGTAGCGGCTGGCCATCCCACAGATGGCCGCGGTTCCCCAGCACGGCCACGGCTTCTCTAAGGCCAGTCTGCTGAGAGGAAACCCTGTGGAGTACGATGTCATCATGAGTACCACGTTGCCCTCGCCAGGCCGTATCAGCTAGGAGCAAGCCACAGACGTCACCGTGCTCGAGGGGGGCTCACACAGGGCGCACCTGCCCCGGAGTGCTCAAGCCCAGCATGATTCTCACTGCCCTGACATTGCCCAGCCCTGAGCACTCTTAACCACTCTACCTACCTTCCTCCCGTGTACGTGCTGTTTTAACGCTCATGTATTTGTGATGTTAGTGTTGTTTGGTGCATATTCACTCACAGGTGTGCTCTCCCTGTTGAACCACAGCCCTGCCTGCACCTGCACACCCAGCTGGGCTGCTTTCTTCTGCCGGCATCGCCCTGCCCTCTGTTAGTCTCCTCAGCAAGACCAGCTGCCGAGGGGGCCCCTTTATGTTCTGTTTGCCCAAAGATGTGTTTATTTTGCCTTAAATTAAAAATATATATATATTTATTTATTTGAGAAAGCAAGCATCAGTGGGGGAGGGGGCTGAGGGAGAGGGAGAAGCAGACTCCCCGCTGAGCAGAGCGCCCAATGCAGGGCTTGATCCCAGGACCCTGAGATTCTGACCTGACCCGAAGGCAGATGCTTAACGGAATGAGTCACCCAGGTCCCCTTATTCATTTATTTATTTTTACCCCTTCAAAGGTAATATATCTTTTTTCCTTTAATTTATTTAAGATTGATTTATTCACTTGAGAGAGAGCAAGCGGAAGGATGGGCAGGGTGAGAGGGAGAATCTGTAGCAGACTCCACACCCAACGTGGAACCAGGTCACGGCCCTGAGGTCACAGCCTGAGCCAAAACCAAGACCCGGATGCTCAACCGACGGAGCTGCCTGGGCGTCCCTTCCTTCCACTAATCTGCAGGCTCCCCTGCCTGTCTAGTTTTGAGCTGTGTTACCATGGGGTGCTTTGCAGAGTGTGCGTTGCCCCACTTGTTTTCCACTAACCTGCTTGAATTTATAACGCATGTCAATGCTGTGACTGGATGTCTATCAACCTTGAAAAGTTTTCTTTGAATGTTGCTCCCTCGTCCCCGTCCTCCACATTGGCGACTCGAGACCCTGTGATCAGACCTTTCCTTCCGTCCCGGCACTTTTGCTCCGACCATGTCCCTTCCCTTCGCGTGGCGCTCCAGGTTAACGGTCCGTGTGCAGCCGCGTCTGCTACGCTGCTAAGAGCTCTCCCATCCATCTCTCAACTTCAGGTTTTGTTTTTTCAGTCTCAAACTTCCATTTGGTTCTTTATTGTTTCCAGTTCCTGCCCAGACTTTTTTTTTTTTTTTTTTTAAGATTCATTCATTCATGAGAGACAGGGAGGCAGAGACCCAGGAGAGGGAGAAGCAGGCTTCCTGCGGGGAGCCCGACATGGGATTCGATACATGGGATTCGATCCCGGGACCCCAGGATCACAACCTGAGCCAAAGGCAGACGCTTAACCGCTGAGCCCCCCAGGGATCCCCGCCCAGACTTTTTGATCTGTCTCTTAATTCCCCGCACACGCCCCTTGAGCTCGGTGTCCAGGAGCGGCTCGGCAGCTCTGTCTGGGTCTCCTTCTGCTGTTTATCGTTTTTTTAGTCACTCTGTGCTTCTTCATTTCGCTGATTATCTTTTGGGTGCCGTGCATTCTACATTAAGAACTTTGGAAGGGCACCGGGTGGCTCCGAGTCTTGGTTTCCGCTCACGATCTTGGGGTTGTGGGATTGAGGCCGCGTCGGGCTCCGTGCTGGGTGCGGCGTGTGCTTGGGATTCTCTGTTCCTGCCACTTGCGTGCACACACACTCTCTGTCTCTCAAGGAAAAAAAAAATTGGAGGTGTGCTAAAGTTCAGGATGATGTTCTTGTCCTGCAAGGGATTTACGGCGCCGGGGGCAGCCCCAGACCACCTTGGTCCCGCCAAGGCTGAGTAGGTGCAGGGGGCCTTAGCGATGGAGCCCTTCAGGGTCCCCGCCGGGGCCGCTGGATAATGCACAGGGCCCTCGTTTAAACTTGAATTCCGGATAAACAGCGAACCCTTTTTCTCATGCACTTCTCCAAAATTGTGTTTTGTACTTTTGTCAGCTAAGTCTGGCAAGTGCAAGCCGGAAGCCGTGCTGCGCGCGCTGGGTCTCATGCACGGTGTCTCCCCCCGGCGCTGTGACCTGCCAAACGCCTCGGCCGGCCTGGGAGCGGCCGCCCCTTGGGTGCTGACATCCCTTGGGTGCTGCTGCTGAAGCCCACCCCTGGTGAGGACCGCTCGCCCGCACCCCTGGCGCATCCTGACGGCTTGCACCTGTCCCCGCCGAGGTGGGGTCGCGGCTTGACTCCTTTTGAACTGTTGTTTCCTGTCGGGTCGTGTGGACCCCGAGTCGCCCGCGGTGACTTACTGTGGCCGCGAGCCAGGAAGGCATCAGGAGAGCGCGGCCACTGCCCTTCCCCGGCCGCGCGGGTGCCGAGGAGCTCGGCTGATGTGCTCACTGCGCTTCAAGCACCCCCTTGGGATGTGAGCGATGCCGGTCGTTTTGCTTCCTGGTGTATTTTTGTGACTCCTTAAGATGTATTTCAGGAACTTTTTCTGAACTTCATCTCTAAACCGTTGCTAGTGTGCACCATCCGGAGGCCTTGCTTCTGCGGGGTCCCCGCCTCACCATCCCCACCTCCTGCACACGGCCTCCGCGGTGCCTCCAGAGGGGCCAGGCCCTGGGCCAGCCCCGTCCTGCTGTCCCCGCTCGGCATGGTCACTGCAGTGATGCAGAAGAGCCACAGAAGCTCATCGGGGCAGTTACTCACTTTGGGGAGCCCAGTGGGGTGTGACTGCCACCGTTGCCCTGTTTCAGAGAAGAGGACATGGAGGCCTGGGTAGGGGACCCACCCAACCCTGGTGGGCAGAGGGCCCGCGGGCCGGTGCAGGTGGGGACCCCAGCTTGGCTGTCTGCTCAGACCTTCCACTGTGGCCACGCGGGGACGCAGTCCCCGGCGCCTCGAGCTGCCTCCTCTGAGCCCCAGGGGCCTCTGCCGGGCCACCCCCTCTGTATGTGGGAGCCAGGGCGCAGTTGGCGGGGCGGCTCCCGTAGGGGTGCACGGGGACCTCTCTGCCCCAGGCCATTTCCCCCGGTTCTCTGCTGGCTCCTCCAGGTGGTCTCCAGTGGCTTCTGGGGGTTCTCATGCCTCCCCAGTTGTCTGCACTGTGGCCTCTTTCGTAGATTTTAAATATCTTGTTTTTAAGTGCTGTCTACACCCCAGTGGGGTTCGCATTGCAGCCCTGAGGTCGGGAGGTTCGGCGTCCGGCCTTTGTGGATTTTAGAACCTTTCTGGGCCTGGGCCGGTGGGACGGGGTGACAGATTGGGCTCCCCTGGACTGCATGGATGGCAGCTTGGGGGGGGGGACCAGGACCCCTGAGCCCCCTCCCTGCCAGGGCCAGCTGCCGAGGACCGGGTGGCCACTGTCCTCCAGGGAGCCTTCCGGCGGCTCCTGGCCAGGAAGGAGCTGGGCCGTGGCGGGTGCACCGGGATTACCTGGAGCAGCTGGAGCGGCTGCAGCGGGAGGTGTGTGAGCGGGACCGGGCTGGGGCAGCTGCTGGGGGTTGGGGCGGCTGTGTGGAGGGAGCAGGCCTTCGTGGCCCTGATGTGGAGGGAGCAGGAGGCAGGAGGAGCGGCAGCAGCCCTGCTGCGGGAGGAGGCCCTCAACGACAGTGACTCCAGGTGGTCCTGTGGGAGGTGGGGGGGTGGGGGACAGGGGTAGGGGTTGGGGTCAGGGGGCGGGTGGGGGTCGGGATAGGGTAGGGTAGGCGGGGGGAGCAGGGTGAGTAGGGGGCAGGGGACGGTGGGGGGTGGAAGGAGTGGGGGGGCCGGGGCAGGCGGGGTCCCTGTGCGGTGACGGGGCCGGGGGCACAGGCGGACGAGCTGCTGACCCGGGCCGGGGGCTCAGGACGAGGTGGGGGCGCGTGGCGGTCGTGGAGAGCCAGGACCTCAGCGGGAACACGGCGCTGTCGGAGGTGGTGGCCGGCGGCCAGGCCTGCACCATCCAGCTGCTGGCAGAGCAGGGCGCCAACCCCAATAGCAAGTTGGGCGCTGCGCCGGGGCTGGGGCTAGGGGTGCCCCCCCGCCGCCCCCTGCGCCCCCCAGTCTTGCTCAGGAGCCCCTGACACAGGGCGCCTTCGGCCGGACCCTGCTGTACCGAGCAGCCTTCGGGGGGCACCTGGAGGCCGTGGAGGTGCTGCTGAAGCTCGGAGCCAACCCCCGGGGTGTGCACAGATGACGGTAGCACCCCGGAGATGTGTGCGTGGCGGCCAGGAGCACCCCTCCCCGGCAGTGGCGGGATGGGGGCTCAGCCCGGGGTGCTCGCCTGCAGGGCCCCGGGGACAGCCCGTGGGGGTGTGGAGCAGGGAGCGGAGGGGGAAAGGGATGTGCAGGCCCTGCTTTGTCTCGGCAGGGAGGCCCAGAGGAGCCTTGGGCGTCTCAGTTTTGGGGGCACTGCACCACCATGGGCAAGGCTTCGGGACCCCAAGGGCGAGCAGGGAGAGCCACGTTTCTGCCCGCCGGTGCCCTTCTTATCTACAATGAGCAGAGGCTCGGAGCTCCTCACGGGCGTGCTTGGTCCCTAGGTGGCCTCCCTGGACGCCGTGGTCAGTGTGCTGCAGTCATGGGACCTGGGCCTCACCGACGCCATGCTCTGGAGCATGGAGGCCGAGCGGCAGCGCCGGGCCCAGGAGGCCGAGCAGCAGCAGGAGGCAGAGGCCAAGCGGTGTGGCTGGGGGAGGGGGGGGGACAGGAGCGCCTCTGACCGGCACCCCCACCCCAGCTTGAACCTCAAGGTGCAACAGCTAGCTAAGGCACAGCAGCAGCGGTAGACCCAGGTGAGCGCCCCAGGTGTGTGTATGGGGGGGGGGGCGGGGGAGTATGGGCTGGAGGGGCGGCTGTCGGCCGGGCAGGGAGGCCCGCTGACGGCTGACGAGGGGCCGCCCAGCTGCAGCAGGCCTACTGTGAGCTCAACCGGAGGATCACGGAGCAGGACGAGTGTGAAGGAATGTGCGCCAGCCAGGCTGAGCTCACCCTGCAGGTGGGTGAGCTTCTGGGGTCGTGCCCCCCCCACCTGCCCCCGCCATAGGTGTCACCTTCCAGCAGCAGCCTCCCGGGGTGGCACTGGAGGGGGCAAAGCCCCGCCGTGAGCAGAGTGTGGGCTCCCCTGCAGGCCATCAAGGACGCAGAGGCCCAGGTGGACAAGCTATGGCTGGAGGCCCAGAGAGCTGAGGAGACGCTGGCCATGGCCAGGCTGGAGCTATGGGAACAGACCCAGGAGGGTAGGGCAGGTCTGGCGGGCAGGGGTCCCGGGCCCAGGGAGGGGGACTGGGCATTGGGTCCTCCCACTGGCTCCTCCCCTTATGACCCCACAGAAGAGGAGGAGATGCCTGGGCTGAAATGCCAGGTCTCTGAGCTGCATGACGTTCTGATGAAGGACGTGGGTGACCGCATCCACGCTGATGGCCAGTCAGTGGCCTGGGCTGGGTGGGACGTGAGCTGAGGGCTGTGACAGTGACCTGGTGGCTGCTCCTAGGTGGCCCCTTGTCATCGACCCTTCGGGCCATGCAGCCATCTTCCTGCGCTACCAGGACACCAACTACGTGGACGTGGTGAACCCCGCCCACCTGCAGCCTGAGAGGATCTGGCTGACGCTGCTGGGGGCGCTCGGGTGAGGCCGCGGGAGGGGGGGCCCCTGCTGACCGGCCTGCCCAGCAGGTACGGGAAGCCGCTGGTGTTCGACCTGCACGAGCTGGACCTGTTCTCTGTGCAGCGGCAGCAGCTGGAGGCCGCGCGGCCAGGCCTGGCCCAGGAGCTGCGGAGCCAGGGGCTCCTGGAGCGGGAGCGCTACCTTTCGCTGCTGCAGCCCGCGGACGAGCCGAGCACAGCCCCACGCAGTTCTGGGCGGCGAGCCTGGGGCACTTCCACGTCTTCTTCGTCACCAAGGCCCGACGGCCGCCTGCTGAGCAGCTGCAGGTGCTGCTCCCTATGAGGGTGCTGCTCCCCGGGGGGTCCTCTAGCGCCGGGCCCCAATAAAGCTTGGGCCGCGGGACTGCAGGCCCCAGACGGCTCGTGTCCTGCTGCGTGCACGCACCCACGCGGGGGGTGGGGCGAGGCAGGGGCCCCAGCCGGAGGACCCTGGTTCACGGGCAGTGGGCGGCCCGTCCCATCTGGGCCGGACCCGAGCCCAGCACGGGGTTGGGCTGTGGAGTTCAGGGCCTCCCCGTGGCTCCCAGCCTGGCGGGGGGCAGGGGGTCGGGGGCTGGAGGTGTGAGACAGATGAACGGAGAGGTAAAACGTAGTCAATTTTATTCCTTTTAAACCACAAAATAGAGTCTTTGGTTGTACAAACATCACTAGTTACAGTCTTGCCAATGGGTGCCAGCTGGGGAGGGGGCAGTTAGTCAGCGGCCAGAACTCCTGAGGGATCTCTTTAAAATGCTAACACCCAGGTTAAAAGACTCAGGGCAAGGGTGGTGGTGCAGCTGGCAGGGCCCCTACCCCAAGTCCAGAGGAAGTCCCGGAGCCTCTAGGAGGGCACGGGGCCCAGGCCACGGCGTCCTGGCCGCACTGGGCGGCGGCTGCTGCACAGTGTCACCTCCTCGGGGCCCACGGTGCCCGGCGACGGCCTGCCCAGAAGCACCATGGCCACCTCTCCGTCCTCCTCCTGCAGGCCTGGTGGGCAGAGGCAGGGGGCTGAGCAAGCTGATGGGGGGCCAGGCACCCTGGCTGTCCCCTGGGCCTAGCCTGCCACTCACCAGGGCTGGGAGACGGTTCCAGGGACCTCAGCTCCTCAGCAAAATCTGGGGACTGTGAAGGGGAGAAGGATTAGGTCAGGACGGCACCCCAGGCCTGCCGGCAGCCGCCCCCGACAGCCTGGGGTCCCCGCTGAGCCCCGCTCGTGCAAGGAACAGGATGAAGACAGACAGAGGGAGGGGGACAGGCCTGGGGGCGGGTACAGGGCCGCAGGAGGAGCGCGTGGCTGTCCTGCCGATGGGCCTGGTACCTGCAGCTCACAGACAGGTCTGGAAGAAGGAAGGGCTGCAAACACCCTGTAGTCAAACTTCCTCCCAGACAAGGCCTTGAAAGGACAGCGTGAGGGAGAAAGGCAGAGAGCATGAAGAGGGGCAGAGGAGGGGGAGTCTGGGGAGGGGTGCAGGGTGGCAAATAGCTGCTGGCTCCTCACCAGGCGTCCAGGGGAGGTGCTGGTCTGGGGCCCGAGGTCTGGGGGGACAAGAAGTAGGCATTGGCAGAGGTCTGGGCTGCAGGGCGCCCCCCCCCCAAGACTGGCCACAGACCTTCCACGGGGGTGGGTGAGGGGGTGGGCGCGGGCGAGGGGGCCTCGGCCAGCCGCTCCAGGGGCCCCCGCCGGCTCCGGCCCTCCTGGGACTTGCTGAGGACCATCTGTGCGCGGAGGGCGTCCTGCTCCAGGGACTTCATCCTGTGGCAAATGGGAGGCGGGGCTGGGTGGCGGGCACGCCGGGGGGCAGTGGGGGCAGGCAGGCCTCCTGCGGCCACCAGGGCCTCACCTGGCCGCCCTCCACAGGGCGCGCTTCTCGGCCTCCAGGGCTCGGCGCTCAGCAGGGGACAGAGCCCGGTCGGGCACGGGCGCGGACAGCTCGGGGCTCTGCACACGCAGCCGCTCCTGATGGCGCCGTTCCGCTTTGGCCGTGCGCACTGGGGCGCCACCTCCGAGAGGCTGGGGGGACGAGGGGCTGAGCCTGGGCCGGAAGACAAGGCAGGAGGACCAGGTGGGTGGGGGGCCGCTGGCATGGGGATCCCGGGGAGACGTTAGGTGCTGCCCCTCACCTTGCAGCAGGGCCGGCCCAGGGCGGCGGCTCCTCGGGCTCTTCGTCGTCAGGGGCCTCGCCGTCCAGGTCCAGGCTCAGCGCACCGTCCTCTGCCTCCCGCATCAGCTGTGCCCTCTTCTGCTGCAACTTTCGGGCTGAGGTGGGGGTTGGGAGGGTGAGACCTGGACGCCCACCCGCCTGCCCCGCCCACCCCTGTGCACACCTACCTTCCTCCTCCTGCATCTTGCGCAGGTCATCAGCACCCACCAGTGACACGCGCTTTGGGGCCCCTCGGCCTGGGGCACCCGCACCTCCAGCTCAAAGTATTTCTGCCGCTCACGGAAAGAGAGCTGCTCCGGGGAGGCCATGGGCCCAGGTGTGGGGGGCTGCGGGAAGTGGGTCCTGAGACCTGGCCCCTCGGGGCACACGCCCCCCAGGCACACGTGCCAGCAGGGGCTCCGCTGCGTACCTGAGCAGGGGTGTCCTGCAGTGGGTGAGGACCGGGCACAGCAGCAAAGGTCCTGTAGGCTTGCTTCACGTTGGTGGGCAGCGCGTCCGGAGAGGGTGGGGACGGGGGCTAGGGAAGGGGATGCACCTGAGCCGGCGAGGACCGCTGTCCCGGCTGCAGCCTCCCCCAGCTGCCTGACTCCCACGCCCAGCGCAGAGCTCTCAGAGGGCATCACCTCTACGTCTGGGCCCACCAAGCCCCTGGCCAGGCCCATGCGGGTTTTCTCAGGAAAGGGCAGGGTGGGGCCAGAAGGTCAGACTGGGATCCAGGTGAGGGGGTAGGGATGTAGGGAAAAGACCCACTGGAGCCACCTTGCCCGAGGGCACTGCCAGGGCTGACCCCCGCCCACCGCCCCCATGCAGTAGACCCGGGAGCCTCAGCAGGCTCAGCTTGCCCCCTCCCCACAGCTATGTCTGCCCCGGGGCATAGGGAGGGGCGGCTGGCAGGTGCTGTCCCCAGGCACCGCCTCTGTGGAGGAGGGGGCACCGTCCTATACCCCTGCCTGGCATGCGCTCACCTGCTGGCAGCTCGGGAGCGGGGACCCTCAGCTGTCTTCCCTCCTGTGGTCCCAGGCGGCACCTGCAGGGGTCAGGCAGTGCCAGGGGAGGGTCAGGCAGGGCTGAGGCCCCACAAGGAGTTGCTGGGAACGGGGGTGGGGTGGGGTGGGGGGAGGGCCTGCCAGAAGCTGCTCCTCGGTTCCCCAGCTGACCCTAGCCCAGGCCAAAACCACGGTGCAGCCAGCACGAGGGAGCCCCACCAAAGGCCACGGCCTGGAGGCCCCAGGCTCCCCGATGCAGGGTGGCAGTTGCTCCACGAGCACCCCCACTACCCTCCCCGTATACTTGGAAGGGATGTGAGCAGGGATGCTGGGTGCCCCCGCCCCTGGGCTCCCCCGCTCAGCTGTCCCTGCCTAAGGAACAAAGGTCTGCACTAAAGCCCGTGGCAGCCCCCGCCCGCTCCCCCGAGCACGGCCTCCTGGCAGCCACTATGGCTCTTGGAGAGGGGGTGAGACCCAGAGCTCCGTGCTGCCTGCCCCGGTGTCTGGTGTCAGGGTCCCTCCGGGCTGACCTCCCGCGCAGGTGAGTCAGGGGAGGGGGCTTCCTAGGAGGCCGCCGGCGCCCTCCGCTGCCTCAGGGCTGGCTCCAGGAGGAGGCAGGGCCCTGGTGCGGGTGCCCCCCGCCAGTGCACCCCTGCAGGCCCTACCGGGAAGCCCCGTCCCCCGGGGTCTCCATGACCAGGCCGGGGGTGTGACCTGGACACGACACTGCCAGCAACAGGTGTGGGGGCCCGAGGTGCCGACCCTGGTGGCAGAGTCAGCAGCGCTGCGAGGGGCCTGCGGATGCAAGGCAGGGGACAGGGAAGTGGGCGCCGGGGCTGGGCGTGCACGGAAGCCCCGTGTGTAGGGCAGGGGCGTCCGGACACGCACCACGGCCTCCAGTCCCCACTGTGGGGTTGGTCCCGGCAGCTCCTTCTCCTGTGGGCAGAGGAGACACAGGTCAGGGACGGCCAGCCTCGGGCCCTCTGGCCTGGGGGCAGCCGCTGTCGGCGCTCTGACCTTGCCACAGCCTTCAGGGCTCAGCTCCCGATCGATGGAGGAGACGCTCTCCAGACTGTTCCGGCGGCCGACGCCTGCCGCGAAGGGATTAGCGATGACGCCTGGGGACACCTGAGGAGACGACGAGAGGGGCGCGCTAAGGTCAGGGCCACCGATCCAAGGTCCCCTCCAGGGGCCGGCCAGAGCCCCAGCCGAAGACCTGGTGGTGAGCACACAGCTATGGCAGCCTTGCGGGGGGCGGATCGTGACCGGCCCTGTGGGCCACCTGGGCCACTGTCTGCAACACGGGGTAGCCACGAGTTATGGATGCACGTTGTGGGCACCAGCGGCCATTTGGACATGTGACCGGAGGCCGGGGAGGCCAACTGTGGACGGTGAGCCCAGGAAGCAGAGGGGTGAGTACACGGCAGGGGGCAGGCAGTGGACAGCAGGCAGTGGGTGCCCGCACAAGACCCTGCTCACACTCACACGCCGCTTCTGGAACCTGCAGCACGAGCACCCGGGATAGACCGAAATAAAGGACACGACGCCGGAGCAACACGGAGGCTGTGAGCACAGGGGAGCCCACTGTCTGGTGGGCAGCAGGGGTGTGGGGGCGAGAGCAGGAATGCAGGCGGATGGAGACACGGATGGCTGTCCCCCCAGGCCCACATGGGGCCCGTGGCTCGGCCCTGACCATCGGGAGGAACCAGAGAGGGCGCAGCCCCCACGCCGGCAGCCGGCGGAGAGCAAGGGTGAGGGGAGGGCAGCAGCCCCATGGGGGCGAGGACGGAGGCGCCCCAGCAGGGATGCCATCAGGACACATGGCGCCACTCATGACGCAGGTGGGCGCGGCGGGCAACACCTGAGAGATGCGGGCGCGGCGGGAACACGCGGGACGGAGGCCCGACCAGCACACAGACTCTGACACGAGCAGATTTAAGGACACGCTGAGATGCCCACATTCCGGACTTCTGGAAGACACTTGTCCAAAGGCCTCAGGTGGCCTGGAGAGGTGGGGCCTTCAGGCCAGGTGGGGAGGGGCAGGTGGAGGGACGGGCAGGGACAGGGCTGGTGGAAGGACAGAGAGGAACAGCACAGGAGGAGGGACAGCGCAGGTAGAGGGATGGGCAGGAACGGGGAGGGAAAGAGCAGGGACAAGGAGGGGGGAGGGACGGGGAGGGACGGGGAAGGACGGGGCAGACAGATGCAAGGCAGCCTCCGGGTTGAGGCCTACCGTGAACTCCCTCCCCCATGGCCA